TTACCTTTCCGTATTTGCACGTAGCCCATATTGTAAGAAATTTGCATAAACCGCAACCGCAAGTCTAGATCATTCTGTTCCCAACAGCGAATAGAATTCACCGTACCTTTCCTAACCTGTTTCACTTGCAAGGACTGGGATTATGACTAATTACAATAATAAAGACTCAGGGCTTTGCTCAGTGCTTAATTAATTACTCGTATATTACAATTACTGGCTTGTGACAACTATGTTACACTATGTCACAGAGACGTCTTTTCAGTGAAGGGAAGAAATTAAATCTGTAATTTTTTCCGAATTTTTCATTCATTAACTTACTCGCCATACAAATTGAAAATTAAGGTATTTTGGCAAGATTAAAGATGATATTAGTTAAGGTAAAACTTTACTACGATACCTAAAAGCTCCAGCGTTTGTGTTTCCTCAAATAACCCTGCGCACTTCATCACAAGACAAGCCCAGCTGAAGAAACATACTATAAGAATAGAACTGGATTATTTGGATTATGGCAAATCACGCGATGGTTAACTGTCTATGGAAAGGGATGCCTTTGTGAAGGGTTTTCGAAGGGAACATGGCTCGTATTCACGTTATGCTTAGGGAAAGGCACGAAATCCCTCAAACGTCTAGCTCATTCTCAAGGATTTAAATTTGACCAAACTACAAGAGTTCAATGGACGTACCGTTCGGTCGCTGATGAGCGGACACATATAGGGAAATATACTAAACTATGTGGTCTAAACAATTAAAGCTCAAGATAGATAGAAAATGATTAAATTCCATAATTATGTAACAATTTAAAATAGTTATTTAAACGTTTCACATGGAATAAAGAAAAATTTTATCTTTTCCCAAATTAAAATAAGTAATTAGATATATATATTTAAAAATATTAGCATAAATTGTTAGCTTTGCTGAGAAAAATTACCAGATTCTAATTGTCACCAGACTTCTCAAATAGGCAAATAGGCATATAGCAACTAAAAAAAATAATAATTGTTCAATCATCTAATGATTAAGATGTTCAGCAGTAACCTTAGAAATGGAAGCATTCATTTGAGTAAACAGTACTATGACAACATTTCTTTGCGTTTACACTTGCATCATTTGTCTTCCGTATTTCTTGGTGATTTGACGAGATTCAGTGCGTATATATTGCTAGAAGTAATTAATTTCAAAGGTAAGGAAGATGAATGAATGCAGAGATAGTAAATGAATACAACATTTGTACAGACATTCGTCTGTTCTGAAATACAAACAGGAATGATTGAATGTTCTCTTGTATACATAAAGAAATTAAGCATTGTGAAATTTTCTGAATAAATTGCATTTAGGAAGAAATTGAAAGAAAAATTCACTTACTGCGATTCTGCTCTGTTTGCTTCCGCGGTTTGAGACCGAAAATTCCTCTTATTTTCTGCATCTCCATCTTTAGTTATACACCTACACTTTTATAACTTTGCTTTTGAAGAGAATAAGAAATTACTAGTATAAATTTGATTTTTTTTTCTTTAAATGCTTTTAAAATGTTTAAATTCAGTTTTGCTAATGAACATCATATATGCTACTTATATTTATAGAATACTTATAATACCTTAAATAGAATTCCATTGTTTTGCATCTGGATCCATGAAACTGAGAGTAAAAATTAGAATCGTGACAGTTGTTCTTTAGTTTTATTAACAGTAAGGTTCAGAATTAAATCGTATCTGTACTTCTTGGTAGCTCATGTCGCAATGTCCACTCAACTCAGAATGTTACGCAAATTTAAAGGCACACGTGACACAGCTTAAAAGTAGGAGTTAAACCTAAATGTTGCCTGATAGACCATTCGCTGTATTGCAGCTATCCCGGCTGAAGTTCTAACATAAGTAGATATGCGGTTGGTAAGAGATTTAAAGGTTTAGCCGAGGTCTGTAGACAGACAAGGTAGGCTTTTCTTAATGGTGACGACACTTACAGAACTGGAAGAAATGATAGCACAACATGTGTAGGAAACAAGTTGCTTTTCAGCAGAAAGTCACTGACCTCATACAAGAGTAAACTTTGTAGTATAATAACCTTGAACTGAGCTGTAGACGTGAAAAATGCGCAATATCCTCGCTCGAATTCCAACTCCGGTCTTTCCAATGCTATCTCGATGTGTTTTCCAGTTATACCAAGGGAACACGCGGTAAGGAGAGAGGAAATGCTTTGCATGCTAACTTGTGTTTTTCAAACTTATGGAAATTAGAGAAATATTTTCTAAATGTGATCAAGTTTATATGCGTTTGTTTTATGACTGTGTGATATTATACTAACCTAAAATTACAGATGGCTGTTGCATGTTTCAAAATTACTAAATAACATTGGAATAAAATACACCTTCTTTATTACTGAACAATATTAAGCACTTTTTTCTTTCATTTGTCTTCTATATTTTTAAAGATTTGAAGCCCATAGTTTACTTCAAAACTACTCTGTTAGCAAAAGATGCCGTCTTGATTACTAAAGAAGAGATCTAGAAAAACAAAAGTTTGCTGTATCTACTATAGCATAATCTTTTACCGAAATATGAAGGAAAAACCTTTAATAAATTTTTATTGAAATCTACAGACAGGCTTTTCCGTTCTTACCCACGCTCTGTTTTAAAACAAAACGATTTAAAATACACTATTTAAGCGCTACTATATTCAAAATTAAAATAGTTTTAAAGTATTATAACCGGATAAATTTATACATGTTTTCAGAGATTTGAGAATTATATTTTAAAGTTATACTTACATCTTGCACTAAACATAAATTTAATTCGAAATACAATCATTTTTCATATTAAATTTTTTTATTCAGCGTGTTTCTCTAACTACAAAATTATGCATAGCGGGGTTACATGTCATAGTTCAAATGAGAATGTTACCTGTTCCTCTAAAGACGTGGCTTAAATGATGAACGATAGTAGTTTATATGCTTGGAAGTGTCATGTGGAGATATATGATACGACACTACTTATATCATAAGGATTTAAGCAGGTCTCTCAGATAGAACGTCAGAATAACTACTTAACATTTATAGAACTTTGCAGCTTAACGTGTCTCAAGGCAGTATGAAGACCCGGGAGTTTCTGTACAAATTTATATAAGTTATGTAAATTTATTAAAATTTTATGATGTTATCTTTGTGAAATCCCCGAACTTTATATTGCTGTCAGACGTATTAACGGTGACATTGAGAGTTGCTTTTTTTTTATTTCGACGGAGGCGAGTAAAAAAACAGTGTCTTAAACTTAATTTACACTATTTTTGCTTTAAAGTTTAAACTTAGTTTATTTTTAAACAGTTTTAAACTTTGTTCTAAATTTGGGGTTATAATGGCTTATTTGCGCTCACTGTTTGTGTTCTTCAAATTCAACTATTTTCATTACTTGTACAATCATATTTTATATTAGTGTAAATAACAAAGCCTTTATTGAAGATTTAACACTGTGCTTTCCACACTCGAACTGGACACTCTCATTATAAAACAGAGCCCACTTTAATTTGTTTTCTGCTTCTAACTACATTCCCTGGAAGGAAATATCTCATACTTGAGTGAAATGGGGTGCAACTACATTAAGCCAGTCTGCACATCCGTAGAAATGCTTCATGGGGAGAATGGTGCTTTAGAGATTTCTCACTGATTAACTAAAATAATACGTAGACTTTGTGATAAAACTTTCTCTGGCACTTTAAATATCCTAAAAGGTGTTTGCCGAGACAAAATTCAGGTTATATCTCCTCAGGATAAAGTGATATTTTGAATATAATATGAAAAATGTGTGTGTAACTAAAATCTATTATTAAATTGTAATTTCTTAATAAAATAGTACAGCTTTTTTAAAAATGCTTTTATACGCGATATTTGGTCATAAAGAAATTTTCTGATATTTGAGTAATTTACTCAAAATTTGAAACCTGAAACAACGTAAAATTAGTAGAAATTTGGTGTGTAAAGATTACGACTCACTAAAATGTTTCCTAAATCATGGAATTTTATTGAAATGACATGCAATAATAAATAATGTAAAATTTATAAAATATAAATTTTTCATTTCTGTTATGGATTTGATTTTGATAGATCTGTTACTTCAAGTTTGTATTCTTTGTTTGAATGCTGGTTAGAAAGATCTTTTTTCAGGTTTCTGGAGACTTGTGTAACTATTGCAATAATCGGAATGCAAAACCTGCCAGTCTTTGAGTGGATAGAGAAGCAATTTTTTTTATATCTATATTAATTCAACAGTCAGAAAATATCAAAGATTACTATATTCAGTATTTATCTAATAGTGTTCTAAATATTGCTGGCAAAGTACATTGATTTATCTTGTATAAAGTCTAACAGTTTCATTACGGATATCTTTAATGTTACCAACTGAAGATCTACTGTTATAAGCTCTATTTCTTTAATAATCATCAAATAAATACATTATATTATTTGAAGAAACAATCTTCAATCTGTTTCGTAAAATAATGCAATAATACTATGATATGAAAAGCATAAATATGGAGGTTATATCATTTGTAATATTTGTTTTAAAAATTTAACTTATGCGTGTTTGAATAGTTGGAAAAATGAATGTTATTCAGTCACTCAAAAAATGTTTCTCAGAAAAGGCAAAATGTACTCTCATTTATAATGATCGCCTTGAAATAATTTTTTGCACTAAATAAATCTCTTTCGCTCAACTTTTGAAAATCTGTAAATTTCTTTGCATTTTTCAAATTTAAAGATTATTATCATTATACATAAAAAGAATTTATTTCAACACATATATAATGAAGACAAAACTGTAAACAGTTAAGCACTTTGAGATCATTTAAAGCCATTTCTTTAATGTATTCTTGTAATACAAAAGTTAGCAACCCTAGGAGGTAAACATCTTTGATTCGGAGCGATACCATTGTTTGTTTCCAGTAACTCTGGCTTTCGAATCTGTCTATCTGCAGCATTAAAGGCTTCATTTTTGGATTCTACAAGCAGAGCTAAGTAAAACCTAATGATTGATACAGCACATAAAATTAAAAGAAAACGTTATCTAAAGAATTAACTTATATATATATATTTGAAAAATATATTATCATAATAAGATTTATTATCAAAAGGAGAACTAAAATAAAAGGGAATCCAAAATACGTGGTAACATTCACTTCTCTTTACGGAGGGTACTGACTTCAAACAGGAAGGCTACTGTCTTGCCGTACGGTACATATGTGTATGTCTGGGTTTATGATGTGTGTAATTTCAGTTTATCTATATAAAAAAAACATTAATGTCAAACACAAAATGTCAAACAAAACTTTTCACATTTCTCAGAAATGTCAAAGGTATTTGAATTAAGTATCACTATTACCTACAAACACAGTATAAAATAAAAATATAAAAGGTTAAAAAAAAAATTTAAATACTACTCCTTCAACATGCATTTATTCATTTCGCTTCGTTACTTTTATCTGATCGTGAAGTATGAAGCAGCAAAATATCAAAAAATAAGATTAAGAAATGAGCAAAACTGATATGAATAATGAGCGTGAAAGAAGAAGGTTTAAGTTTTTAGGAGATTTATTTTTAAAAATCAAAATAAAAAAACAAATGTGAAATCCTGCGGAATCAACGGTGAAGTAGAACGTAATTTGCCATTTGATGGTAAAAATTGTGCTAGTAATGTGTTTTTTGAAAAATGTATTAAGGCTAGTAATTCTTTAGGTAACGTTTAAGAACTGAAAGCGAAACAATTTCTTAACTGTCCGAGTATGTGCTAAATCAGAGAGAATAAGGAAAATTGCGTTTTTCTCGGAAAAGTTTTCAGTTATTTACTTAAATTATTAATGTTCAAATGTTCTTATTGCTTTATAAATACATGTATAAATTACAAATGTCATATTATGCTTATTCATATTACATAAGCTCATCATTAATAACTTTCTTTTCGGAATTCTGCCCAGACCATTTTAAGGTAATCAAAACTCCATTAAAGAAATTCTTTATTGAAATCTTCAATTTAATGCAAATTTCTGCATTAACTTTAAAAACGTTGAGAAACATTAATTTATTATCATAATAGTGATTCATTTCTATAAAATTAAATTCTAAAACGACATTTAGTTTAAATTTCTAGTACTAGAGAACGTTTTAAATATGTAATAAAGAAATTACTTTTTAGAGATAAATAACCTATTATTAAATTAACTATTAGTTAATATTGCTCAGGAAATCTGACGATTTTGATTTTGAATGACGAATCAAATCCTTGCAAAATGCTTTGAGTAAATGTAGTCAGACTTATTGGCCACATGACATAATTTTCACTACGAAATTAACCCAAAGCTAATTATTCGTTTTAAAAACATGAAAATGGGATTCATTAATTCAGCTCGTTCATTAACAAGTTTCCGCGCGAGGCACATATTCTAATGCAAATTACTAGTGTTAAAAGTGCTAGTTTAATTTCTAAAAATTTCATCTAATTTGGCTCCCGTGTACCCGAGCGGCTAAAGACATGAAGTTACCATCTCTTTTCGAAGTAGATTTCTGTTATCTCAAATAGCTAACTAAGTTAGATTATTTTCTTATTTACTCCTATTGTAACGTCATTAGGTTGTAGAAGAAGGAAGCACGAAAAACGAGCAATACCCTCACCGGGACTCGAACCTGGACCTTTCGAATACGCGCCGAGTGTGCTACCGTTACACCACGTTGGCATCCAGAAAGGGCGGAGAAGATACCTTATATACTTCCCCTTTTAACGGACGATTGTAGATTAAGGGACGCAATCGACAAATCCTGGTGGTGAAGAATACCACCTTTTTAGTTCGGGCGCCACTGTAGAGACATTAGGTTATTTCGAAGCAGAAGCCATAAAAAATAATTAATGCCCTCGCCAGGACTCGAACCTGGACTTCTCGCATATGCGCTGTGTGTGCTAACCGCTACACTACAAAGGCATGCTGAAGAAGGAAGAAGATACCTTTATAATATGTAACCTTATACTATTTCTTCACTTTTAGGTTTTTAATTATTATTCGGTGAGTCGGGTTGCACCACCTTTGGTACCTTAAAATATGTCCCATGTTAGAGAACTCTGCGAAGCTACTGGCTAGGCTCTGTACCTAGGCAATCTCGGCCACGGGGTATACAAACTACGAACCTAGTGGTTCTGAAGGTCTCGAAAAAATCACTTATTGGCCATCGTGTGGGTATGGCACGTCCTAGAGCAGACGGCTCTAGTAGCCCGGGGGACAGCGTCCCGGGTTTGCTGGGTAATGTCTCTCTGCTACGGGCAGCCCAAGCGACTGTTTGGTGTTGGCGTCAATCCCGCCAAGGCTCTAGGACAGGGGTTAAACCCCTGGGTCTAGTTCGGTGGTGAATGAGGCACTAAATGTGCTTAGTTTATGGGAAGGGGAACACCTAATATATCATATCAAACCTTATAATATGTAGCTTAAATAGAAGTAAAATTTCTTTCAGAAAAATTTATATTAATGCAGTTCTTCGCTTAGGCATGTAACCTACAATATTTTGCCATCATAACTTACAGTCAACAGCCTTCATCTCACTTGCAGGGGCCATGACAGTTACTTGTGTAATAAACCTATCAATGCTATTCGTTGACATTACATACATTATTTTACAAATATCACATACAACTGAAGAAAATTTCAGAATTCATTCTTTACTAATACTGCGTGTATCATAAAACCAATAAAATCCGCCCAACCCAAGGCACTCATACGAATGTTGTTTTTTTCAAGATTCAATAACTAATAATTTATAGTAACTAACGTTGCTTAAAGCTAAAAAAATCTTTTTACTCTTTTAGTGTTCATTCAAATTTCGGAATATTGTCACTTTTTCATTACACAAATAATGCTTTTTAAAGTACCTTGTACACTCTACACACAAAAAAGGAACAGTTTGTATATCTGCCATTCTAGTGGACAGAATGTCGAAATTCAGGTTGCATTTTGTATGTCTAGAAAGTGCGACTTAAGGTATAGGGTGTCTCGTAAATGTTGTGACGATTTTCTAGGGAGGTAGGCCACATCATAAGGATTAAGAACTGCATAGGAACACATGCTCAGAAGCGTCATTGTACCATTGTACGCAGCCTGGGGGCCCGTGGAAAGTGAGGATTGACTCATTCGAGCGGTGGGCACCGTACAAAGAGTATGGAATGCTATACGAACGGAGATCTCGCAGACATGCACTTAGCGTATGAATAGCTGAGGGTAATGGACAAGACTCTGCACGCATTTATCGAAACGCATTCCCGACAGACATCAACTACACCACAGTTTGTTTGCAATTCTTCATCAAAATTTGTGCGACTACGGGTCATTAAGAAGTGGCAGTACTCGCTCGGTCGTTAGGGAAGAAAGTGATGCATACGGTGGAACGTAATCCAAGAACCAGCATACGTGCCATTGCCTCTTAATTAAGAATGTCTGGCACCAGTGCCAAGCGTGGTTTGAACGCCGAGTCCTTCCGCGCTTTTCGTCTCCAAATGGTTTAGTTATTACTCACCGATGACCATCCTGAACGTGTGCGTTTCGCACAGTGGTTTCTGCAAAAAGTACCCATGATGTTAATTTCCCAGCTTATTTATTGTTCACGGATGAGGCCACATGCAATAGGGATAGCGTATTTAATCACCACAATCAGCATTTGTGGGCTCAAGAAAATCCCCAGGTTTTAGGACACCACGTGGCCCGCTTCAAAGTTGATGTGTGGGCGGGTTTGGTTGGCGACAGCTTAGTCGGCCCCTACCTTTTACCATCCAGGTTGAATGTCGTGAATTTTCGGAGCAGGTTTTTCCCGGTTTCCTTGACCATGTTCCACCAAATGCGAAGTGCAACATGTGGTTCTATAATGATGGGGCACCTACTCATTTCGGACTGGATTTTCGTAGCCATTTAAACAGATCAATCCTGCATCGATGAAGTGGGCGAGGTGGATCGGTTCCCTGGCCCATCACCGGATTTATTGAGCCTTGATTTCGTTTTGTGGGGAGCCATCAAAAGTGTCGTGTATCACGATCCTGTTGTGTCTGAAGTGGATCTCGGAACAAAACTCGCCAGCGCGGCTGCTACAATCAAAGAAACTCTCGATATGTTTGAATAGGTTATCAATGGTCCATCGGTATCAGGCATGTTTGGCGTCTGATGGTGTAAACTTTAAGCATCTGTTCTAATATTCAAGCTGTCATACACCATTTGAATTCATGTCCAATAAATATTTCAAATTAATCATTCTCTTGTTTCCTTTCCCATTTTCTACCTCTGTTACCACTTACCCTTGACATTTCCGTGCAAGTGTTCCTATGTCATTCTTAATTGTTATGATATGCCCAACTTTCCCCAGAAGTTTGTCGTAACATTTACGGGACACCCTGTATTTATAATTTGTATTTAGATTTATATTTAGCAATTAATATTAGCAATTAATATTAGCCTGGAAATATTTAGCAATATAATATTAGCCTGGAATTTATATTTAGCATTGGTCTAACATAGATATTTTGACACAAATTGGATCTTATTCTAAAAAATGACATACATTTTTTTTCAAAAAAAAATCGATACTGATATATATCAAATTCAATTAACATTGAGGAGCTAAAATACTGAGGGCTAGTTTTTTAAAACTTGTGTGAATTTTACGAAACTTGGCATATTGGTATAATTTGAATCAGAGAATCGAAATATGGGAAAAAATAGGTATACCATTTTAGAAAAAACCGATTTTGAGTCAGAATACCTATGTTAGAACAATGCTATACACTACCCGACATTGAAAATGCAACAACAAAAGAAGTGGCCCGCAAATTATGCGAATGATGTGAAATGTGCAGCTCTCCAGCGCACATTGAAGAATACGTAAAGAAAGGAACCTGCAGAATGGTAAGTTTTCGTGCCGTTATTTCAGTTAGGGAAATCATCGTAGAAAATCTGTTCCTATCTCAGAGGACGCGTATTATAGCAAAAAATGCCAATCCTTCTTCAAAGGAGGCAGTTCCAGCAGACAGAAGATTTTACTAGGGGCATGGTGATCGGACTGAGAAGAGCAGGTTGGTCCATATGGCAAATCTCAGCTAACACACAGCTAGACCCGTCCGCAATGCATCGGCAGTATTGTTGGAACAAGGAAATGTGGCAAGTCCGAGAGGTATTGGTGCAGCCAGAGTGACATCATCATGCGTGGATCGACGCCTTCCCTGACAAGCGGTGGCTCACCCGCAAGTCACTTCTGCCTGCATTCTGCAGCATGTTTAAGACACCCTGGATGTTCCCATATCGACCAGATCCATTTGCCGTCGATTGGTGACTTGTGGCCTGCACTCGTGGCGTCCGTTAAGAAGATTAGCATTGACCTCACATCATAAACGCTAACGTCTGCAATGATGTCGGGCTCGAGCGATGTGGACGACGGAATGGCGCAGGGTCGTGTTCTCAGAGGGGTCACACTTCTATTTCCCCAATGATAGCCTCTGCGTACGAGTGTGGCGTCGATGTGGAAACAAGTCCAATCCAGCAGCAACTGTGGAACGCCCACCGCGCGGTAAAAAGGCATCTTAGTTTGGGGGGGGGCAATTGCGTGCTATTCCAAGTCACCTTTAGTTCGTATTCAAGGCGTTATGATGGCCCAACGATACGTGGATGATGTACTGCGGTCGTTGAAACTCCCGTAACTTCGGAAAGCGCCTAGTGCCTTTTATCAGCAGAATAACGCCCGACCACAGACTGATCACATCAGCCCATGTGCTCTGCAAAGTGCACAGATGCTTCCCTGTCTATCGTTCTTCCCTGATTTCTCACCAAGTGAATACATTTGGGATGTGATTGGACGCCATCTGAAGACCCTGCCACTGCCGAGTTTAGAAGAACTGTGGCATTTGGTTGACAGGAATAGACAGCCATTCCTCAGGATACCAGCCGTAGTCTCATCGACTCTGTTCCTAGACGTGCTTCTTCGTATATCACCGTCCAAGGTGGTCCTAAAAGCTACTGAGCTGACACTTTTCTCGCTCTGTATTATGCATATTATTTCGAAACAATATGCACTTATTGGTCGTTGCTGTTTACCTCTGTTTGCCGAGTTTTATCACATTTTGGTCCCTCCTTTTTTGGTGTTGCATTTTCAGTGTCGGGTAGTTTTTAAATCTGACATTTGTTCTCAGTCAAGCTTTTGAGACATGAAAAACGTAAACTAAATTTCGTCTATTGGCCCAGCAGAACGGGAGATACAGAATTGTCCTTTTTTCTGTGCAGGGTGTACGTTATACAAATAAGGCTTTCAAGAAATATGTAGGAAGTATGAAGTATTTCTTTCTTATCAGATGGTCTGAGCCTAATGGTCATTCCTAAATACATAACTATCAAAGCGAATTCTTTCCTGCGCAAGAACTTTCATACTACTAAACATCAAGAAATAAAAGTTTGTTAATACGAAACTGGAAAATCGCGTAAGTGAAATTAAACTAAATAAACACCAAGAGACTTAAAGGTTTTGCTAACTAGAGGCAACGCACACAGTTGGCTGATATTGTTTAATAATTTACAAGTTATAGGAGCTCACATGATTAAACATTTGGACGTTCTCATAATTAAACATTAACTTTTCCTACCGCACGATTTCAGGATCGCAGCAGATAACGATGCACGAACGACCTTCTAAAAGCGATAAACATTTTCTCAAACAGGAATTAATCTCTTGTAATTCCATTTAAGTTGCAGTTAAAAAACACGGTAACCATATGCCGGTATAACTGGGATCTTCATAATGTCCTGGCTTTAAAGAATTATTAAGATAAAAGCCAAGAAGAAAGAAGACAGTGATCTGAAGGGAAAAGGATTCAATAATATAAAACTGAAAGTTTAACTGTTAAGAAAATGACTGTCAAAAATGATTTTAAACTGCGTGTAGGCTAAATGTAATGACAAAAATAAATCAATATTGTAAAATCTATATAATTTAAATTGTAGTTTTATATTTCACTGCAGTTAAAATTTTAAATCTGTTTATGGGTAATAATTTAATATTTAGTTAAGCATAAACTAAACATATAAGCAATGTGTAGAGTCTTTTAGGCATGTTTATGCAGAAAACACAAACAAACGGGCTATGCCCTTGGCGGGATTCGAACTGGCTGTGCTAATACTTATATCAGAAATTCATGCATAAAATAAACATAAATTTCCTCATGAATTTACAAATAAAGTGGACACGTGTCTTATTACTTTTATTACGGTACTTTTGTAATTATGTATCGCAGTACAATAGCAGAAATAATAGATTCGAGAATATAAGTATATACTTTTCTTAAGTGAGAACATACAATTAGATGCTTAATGAACACAGAGAAAAGCACTTACTGCTTTTGGATAGAAAGGCAGCAGATGAATCAAGAATAGTAACACAGGCTTTCAATACGTTCAGATTGAGTCTAATAAAGTTACTTGCCACCAAGAGTCTGGTGCTTCCATCAGGTATCATGTATCTTATCACATGATTAGGGCAGGTAGCTTTAATTTATATACAGAGGTTTCCGAAAGGTTAAGGCTTGAACATTATCTTTAGTAGATTCTTAATTAGTATTCCTAAATGCAGGTTTCTTGTTTAGTTCCTGAAACAATGTGAGAAGTCGGGAAATGGAGAACTAAAAAGAAATAAAAAGAATAATGAGGACGCAGTAACTCAAAAGATAGGATAACACTTCTCTTCCAGAAATTCGGAAAACAGGGATAATTGGAAGCCGAATACGACAGAGAGTTCAGAAGAATAGAGAGACAGAGGAGATTTCTTAGAGAAAATAATGATATATACGAGGTATTTTCTTCCTATGGTAACAATAGCTAAATTGTAAAAAGTGTCTGTACTTTCTGAAGTTTGGGTTAATAATATAGGGCAGGTTCGCGTTAATGGAATTAAAAGATCTTTATTACAGTTTGGTGTAAGTATAAAAATGCTAATGTTCAAATAAGCTTTAAATAATGAAAAAAACAACAATAGTGATTATTATTAAAATGCACACTGCTCTAATTATTTTCATTTTACATAAAGTGAATTATAAATTCATTTTATATAAAAAAACTGTTTTTATTAAAAGTAAACGTATACATAAGGCTTAGAGCTAATGTATCTTTGATGAGTCCAACATATTTATGACAAAAAAGAACTGTACTCTTCATGAACAAGTTTCAAGTTTCCTGAATGCTAAAAAGAATCCGCTATTGCATTACATTGTTTCTAAAAATTTATGTTTTATCTATTTCAAGAAACGGATTATGCAGAACTGTTTGCAAAATGTTACTCTATGTTTTAAAATGAAGCTTCAATGAAAGGCTTAGAGCTAATGAACAATGAAAGGGTACTCCTGAAACCAAATCATGTTTTACATTTGTACTATTAAATGTGTAAATTCTTACTTAATTTAATTAAACTCATTTTACAATAATCAGAAAATATGTTCATTGATCATGGTTTGTTTGGCAATAGATTAAATCATTAATCGCTTACCAGATCAATTATTATGCAGAAAAAAGCTACAAACTTTAGTAGTTCGAGAAATATCTTTTCTTTCTGGATAAGTAATTAGAAAAGGTTCGCAAAATTATAAGTTTATTGCATTTTTAAGAAAGCACATTTTGTCCTTCTTACAAATTCAAGAATCAATTTTCATTTGAGTTCTTTTATAAGAGAGTATATGAAACTTACTTCACATTTACTACATTTTGCGAAATATGATATATTCAATTGCTTAACAAAACGTATCAAGCAAACCAAACAGATCACAGCACCAACAGCTGTCACGTAAAAAGACAAATTGTTGATATGGCTTCTTTAACAAGGGTAATTAAATATTACCCTTTCGTTATAAAAAATATATTTAAAGTACGGAAAGTCAGTATTATGGTTGCACAAATATGATATACCTGGTTCTAAAAATTTCCTTGAATGTCATAAATTGTCTGCATGTTCGGCATGATGATTATTCCTGTTGCATTACAACTAAAGCTAGAATGCACCAACAGAAATAGTTAATTAAATTTTCAGCGATATAATAAACTATGACCTTTCTTTTAGTATTACAAATTAGTAAAAGCAAGTTTCTCTCACATATCCGATCTAGTTATTTCCTCTAAGCACCTAAAGTCGCTAACCAGTTCGCGAACCAAACGAGAATACTGAAGTTTCCGAAAAATGAAAGTTAGCTTCAACTTTATGATGACAAAGTTCACTATTTCAGCCATGAGTTGCAGTTAACTTATTTGGCTTTCAGTTCTTCTTCGGGGTATGAACTTGGACAATCTTTTGGTCTAAGCGAATTTTACATGAGATGGAACAAAGAGAAGATAGAACAATGTTAAATTTAAGCTTCACGTTTGTAAAATCGAAAATTAATTATCACGAATTTTATTGTTCATAAATATCTAAGAAAGGTATTTATGAACAATAAAGTTCATGATATTTAACAATTAGATATATCTTCAGAAATAGATATCTAAGAAAATGAGAAACAGATATCTAATAATCTCGTATATGCTTACTTTACTATGTACAGAGTGCTTCGAGAAATGCGATGGTGTTTAGGCTTTTTATATTTTATATTGTAAAATATTGAGCACTTCGTAAAATTTCTTTCACAGTCATAAATCATCCCTAGGAAATTCAGGTAAAAAAAATGATCCTGAAGTAATTTTAGTTTACGCTATCTAGGATATGACTTTAAAAGGTACTAGGATAACTAGAAAGCACTGGATAATGTGTTCAAATTCTTAGTCGCAGCTTTTTCTGTATTAGATTTTTCTCAACGATTGAGATTAAGGGTTACTTCAATGTCTCATAAAATCTTGGTTTCAGTCTGTGCTTCATGATTCCTTTAGGTCTTGTAAAGGTTCCAAGGTTTCATCAATAGCGTATAAATGTACTAAACTAGAAATACGTTAAGGAAAAGGAGACTTATTAGAGGACGAAAGAAGTTTAGATTGATGAAATAAAAATAATATGAAACAATGACTTATTTGCTTGGATATACTAACTTTTCAGTAAAAATAAGAACACGTGGCATTTAAATCGCTTTCTAAAATTTTACCTCAAATCTTGTAAAGCGTGTACTATAATTCAATAATTATGCTTGTTCATAGGTACAATTCTTTTATTATTAGTGATAGTTTTACTCAGAAAGGTGTTATTTTGTGCTGCGATGTAAATTAATATCTGACTATTCTCATATACTGCTTAATGCAAGAGTGTCCGAAAATCAATGGAAGAAATTTACGTTATTATTATAGGCTTCATAGTAAGCGCCATGGCTTAAAAGTATTCGTATGAAGTCAGCAGAAAAACGAGTTTGTACGACATACTTCAGTACCCTCCAGACATGTTTTATTTAATGTTGCAAAGCATATTTCTTGACAAAATATTATTTTCATTATCTGACTACTCACTGATTACGCAGTGTAATTAACTACCCAAACACTTCGTTTCCAACCTATTGATATAATGATCAGCGGAGGCTGCTTCCGCGCCTAAAGCTCTTGGGTATCGCATGAGTATCTGGGTATCCTGAGTATCGCATGAGCATTTGTTACTCCTATATTTTTGGAATGGGGTACTTAAAATCCATCTTTACGAAACATAACATATATCTAGACTTACGGGTAAAACGATGAAAGGATTTATTACCTACATTTCCAATTTCATGAGGGTATTCTCAACTAAAATTGCAATGGAGTTGGGCAAAATAAAACTCTAACCATTAACGCTGTATATTTATGATTGATAACAGGTGTAGCTGTACCCTGATGATTTATGATGCCTATGGCTAACGGCAGTCTGTACATATGGCTAACGACAAGCCCTGAAAAATGCAAAATCAAAACTACCAACACTAACAGCTATTTGTTTAGCATAAAATTACAGCATTTGTTTTAAGTAACAATTTAAGCATTCACGTTTAGAATGAAAACTTGACATTAACTCCTACATCATTAAAAACTATAATAATAGAATTATCTGATCATGAAATATTTTATTTATAATGATATTTCGCGTGCAACATAATATTAAAATCCAGCTGCTAATAGTAATAAGACATGTTGCAATAAAAACTTTAAAATAGCGAATCATAAAAAATATCAAATGGGGTTCAACGAAGAGGATATCGTAATCAAATGTGAAACACGATGAGTTAGCCAAAGCAAATTCTAAAGCTTGTTTAGAATATAATATTTTCAAACAACGTTCAGCGATTGAGTTCAAAAGAAGGTATATCATCAAGAAACCTTCACAAAAGTCTATATTCGTAATCTGTGGTGATACCATACTTCCGTGTGCCACCGTTAAAAAATGGGTTGTTATACTTAGACAGCGAAGAAAGTCACTAGAAGATGATCCCCAAGCACGAGGTAAATTAGTAAACAAACTTCAGAAATATGGTATGAAAAATGGACGAATAACAATTTGTTATGTTGCTACGGAAATGAACATTGGTAGTGAATTGTAAGAAAATCTTTCGGGAAAAGGCTGGGGATGCCTAAATTCAGCCCCAGATTCTTCGAGGAAATATATGATTAAATACTCTGAAGAGCTGCTCGCCATGACAGTCATCAGAAAAACATTTTTTATTCACGGGTAATGAGAGGAAATTAAACATGACTTTACCACTGTGACCAATAACAAAACAAAAGCGCAAGGTTTGACATACAGAGGATCTTTCACATCCGTCTAGCTCATAACCAAGACATCTAACGAGAAAATTCTGGATACCATTTTTTGAGATGGAGAAAGACCAATGAATGTTTAGCTGTCACACAATACCAAGACAACACATGCTTAGTTAAGCTTACCTGTACATTCAACTCTAATTAGACATAAAGTTAAAATATAATGGAAAACTCACCAGAAACTTGTTGATTTTTCACAAAACTTTATTCTGCATAGCGAGTTTAGACCTCCAGAACTGCAGCAATGGGAACTGGCACTGTTCAAACCTACCTTCTCTCCCGTTCCAGCACGTATTCATCAGATTCGCCCCTTTAACTCCACACCTAAAGCAACATTTACATGATTCACGTTATAGCAATGATGATGATAATTCAAAGAATACCTTTCAAGAATGGTTTGAAAGCTATGGCAAAACGCAATTCTTTTGCTAGAATCCGATGAGCGAGTTGTTGTCCTAAGTGATTTGGAGGGGAATAAAACTATGCGGAAAACTGGAAAAATAATTTTAGATACTTATCTTCTACTAGTGTGTTAAGTTTAAAATGTACTGAATATCTCCCGTAAGGCCTGCCAGTTACTGAAACCATTAGACAGCTGAATGCTTTTAATTTGACTCAGATTTGAACTCGAGCGAGCTTAATGTACAGGTTGTTTGCTTCCCATCACATGAATGAATGTATGTATGAGCTAGTGTCCCTGAAAATGTCCCCCGCAAATGCTTAGCATTCCTTAGGTAAATAGACTTCATGTGCTTCAGCATGATGATGATTAAACATTAATAAATGATTAAACAAGCAAATAGAATATCTATAAATTCTAAGAGAATAAATATATTTTGCTCACCTTACTGGTATCTTCTATTCCGAAGTTTGCATTGCTATAACTTAAAGGGATATGTACAGCGACAGTAAATAAAATCCATATTACAGT